ACAGCGCGGTGCTCCCTCAGCACTGATCCTCCGACAGTGCCCACTCCCTCAGCACTGACCCTCTGACATTGCCCACTCCCTCAGCGCTGACCCTCCGACAGTGCGGTGCTCCCTCAGCACTGACCCTCTGACAGTGCCCACTCCCTCAGTACTGACCCTCCGACAGTGCTGTGCTCCCTCAGCACTGATCCTCTGACAGCGCGGTGCTCCCTCAGCACTGACCCTCCGACAGTGCGGCACTCCCTCAGTGCTGACCCTCCGACAGTGCCCACTCCCTCAGCACTGACCCTCCGACAGCGCGGTGCTCCCTCAGCACTGATCCTCTGACAGTGCCTGCTCCCTTAGCACTGACCCTCCGACAGCGCGGTGCTCCCTCAGCGCTGACCCTCCGACAGCGCGGTGCTCCCTCAGCACTGATCCTCTTACAGTGCCCCTCTCCCTTGGCAATAGAGGTCCTCAGTTACACTGAACTGTTATCTTGCATTAGTCTGTCTTTCTTTCCATGAAAATTCTCTGTGGCCTCACCTCCTTCCTTTCTCTAACCTCCACCAGATCCTACAGCCCTCTGAGATCTACTCGTTTCCAAGTGGCCTACCATTTGCAGCCATGCCTTCAGACTACCTAGGACCTGAGATCCCTCCCAAATCTCTCCGTCTCTCTCTTCTCCTTAAGACCCTCCTTACAAACTGACCTCATCAATCGAGCTGTTATGCGTGTGGCCCTGATGTCTCCTGAAGTAGCTCTACTACTTCAATTTGATTTGATAATCCCTTCTGCGATGCTTTTGGGGTACATGATTATGGAGGCACTAAATAAATGCAGTTTATCGTCTGAACGTTTCAGATGCAAGTGTCCATGGCAGAATGGTGAATGCATGTGCTGGAGCGTGAGGTCCGAATCAACCAGTTAGCCAGATTACTTCCCATTGTGAATCTTTTCATGTATGTTCCTTGTGGCCTGCTGAATAACCTCACCCACATCTAATGCAAACTGTCCACCCTAATTATCGAGAGCATTGTGTTCACTCCCGGAGCTGGCTGCCCCTCTGCCTTGGAGAGGCAGAGCTCCAAGATTGTTTTGGGTGTAACAGTTAAGAGAAAACACACTTGTTTTCCCACCAACACAACATGGCTCAGCGCAGCAGATGGTCACAACCGATAAAAAAGAGAGCGCTGTCTCTGCTCCTGTCCTGGAACTTTGCTGCCATCTGATGTTAATGCTCCCGACTACAACAGGATGGAGGATGATGCTTCTATTCTCTCTCCCCATCTCCTGGTTAGCAGTGCTTTCTTATCTCAGCGACAGGGAGAGATGACTAGTGGTGGCTGAACCTGAGGGTCACCACACCTCAGGAGAGGGGAGAGGTTGAGGAGGACAGTCCTTCAGGGGAACCCTCAGCAGATGTGGGATTTGAACCCATGCTGTTGGCATCTCTCTGCAACACAAACCAGATGCCCAGCTCACTGAAAGTACAGCGCTCAGAATTCCGGCTCCCTTTGTCTAGGGAGCAGTAACAGCGTGAGGAGAGGTTACAAGGTAATTTTTTTTTTCTATTCATATGTGGGATGTGGGCGTCGCTGGCTGGGCCAGCATTTATTGCCCCGTCCCTAGTTGCCTCCCTTGAGAAGGTGGTGGTGAGCTGCCTTCTTGAACCGCTGCAGTCCATGTGCTGTGGGTTGATGCACAATGCTATTCGGGAGGGAATTCCAGGAATTGTAACCCCCAACCTGGAATCATTCTGAGTCCAAAACACGGGATATGGCAGGAGATGGCTATTCAGCTGTTCAAATCCCTCTATCATCATCCAACTTACATTGGCTGATTTGTGACCTAACTGCACCTACCTTCCAGTTTCGTTGGTACCTCCGGTCAATGTTATGTTGACAACATTATGTACAACATGAAGTGCACACGGTGATGAGAGAAAAAAAACTTGTTCACGCAGCGAGTAGTTAGGGGATGGAACACACTCCCTAGAAATGTGGTGGAGGCAGGTTCATTTGAGATATTCAGGAAGGGCATTGGATGATTATTTGGATAGAAATGGGGAAAAGGTAAGGATTGGTGTGAGGGAATAGAATTGGTGTAGGCAGAATGGGCCTAACAATCTCATTCTGTGAACCAAAACCAGTCTCAGATATAAAATTAATTCTTTTTCATTTCCTTTGTGGGAAGTGGGCATTGCTGGCTTGTCCAGCGTTTATTGCCTCGTCCCTAGTTGCCCCCCTTGAGAAGGTGAGGGTGAGATGCCTTCTTGAACCACTGCAGTACGTGTGCTGTGGGTTGACCCACAATGCCCATAGGGAGGGAATTCCAGGATTTTGACCCAGTGACACTGCAGGAACGGGGATATATTTCTAAATAAGGCTTGGAGGAACTTGCGGGAGGTGACGTTCCCATGTACCTGCTGCCCTTGTCCTTCTGGATGGAAGTGGTCGTGGGTTTGGAAGGTGCTGCCTGAGGATCTTTGGTGAATTTCTGCAGTGCATCTTGTAGATAGTACACACTGCTGCGACTGAGCGTCAGTGGGGGGAGGGAGTGGGATGTTTGTGGATGTGGTGCCAATCGAGCGGGGGCTGCTTTGTCCTGGATGGTGTCGAGCTTCTTGAGTGTTGTCGGAGCTGCCCCCATCCAGGGCAAGTGGGGAGTATTCCCTCACACTCCTGACTTATGCCGAAACGATAGTGGAACAGGCTTTGGGGAGTCAGGAGGTGAGTTACTCGCCGCAGTATTCCTAGTGTCTGACCTGTTCTTGTAGCCACTGTGCGTTTATGTGGTGAGTCCAGTTCAATTTTGGTCAATGGTAACCCCCAGGATGTTGACAGCGGGGGATTCAGTGGTGGTAATGCCATTGAATCTCAAGGGGCAATGGTTAGATTGTCTCTTATTGGAGATGGTCATTGCCTGCCATTTGTTTGGCATGAATGTCACTTGCCACTTTGCAGCTCAAGCCTGGATGATGTCAAGGTCTAGTTGCATTTGAACATGGACTGCTTCAGTATCTGAGGAGTCGCGAATGGTGCTGAATATTGTGTAATAATCGGCGAACATTCCCACTTCTGACCTTATGATGGAGGGAAGGTCATTGACGAAGCATCTGAAAATGGTTGCGCCGAGGACACTACCCTGAGGAACTCCTGCAGAGATGTCCTGGAGCTGAGATGACTGACCTCCAACACCCACATCCATTTTCCTATATGCCTACAACAATGGAGTTTCCTTCTGATTCCCACTGACTTCAATTTTGCTAGAGATCATTTAAGACACACTCTCTTAAATGCAGCCTTGATATCAAGGGCTGTCAGTCTTACCTCACTATCAAAGAAAAGCATTCCAAACTTCTTCCATCCTTTGTCTGTGTATATTTCTGTAATTACACTCCTGAAAGGTCTGGCTCTGATCTTTGTTGACCTTGCTCCCACTCCCAGACTTGACAACCAGTGGAAACAGTTTCACTCAACTGATTCTACCTGTTCTTCTTAATACCTTGAAATCTTTAAATTGACCACTCACCTTCTAAACTCCAGGGAACAGAAGCATATGTTGTTGAATTGTTGGGGGTTGATGGAGTCTCTCCAAACATCTCAATGCTTGAAGTGGGGCCCTACTGGTTTCCCACATGTTCATCTGTCCCAAATTTAATCCCCAATCCTTCTATTGCAATATCCCTTCCTCATTTGGTCCATTCAACTCTGCTAGAACCCCACATTCCTACTTCACCCTTCTGAGTGACACCCACCAGCTCAGCTCACCCTCCTTCCACACCATTTACTCCACTCTAAACCCCTCTACTCTATTTACCCACACCACCCTCCTTCCACCCCATCTAGTCCACGCCATTTCCTTCCCTCCACCCCATTTCCCCCACTCCACCCTTCCTCCACCCCATTTCCCCCACTCCACCCTTCCTCCAACCCATTCCCCCACTCCACCCTTCCTCCAACCCATTCCCCCACTCCGCTCTTCCTCCAACCCATTCCCCCACTCCACCCTTCCTCCAACCCATTCCCCCACTCCGCTCTTCCTCCAACCCATTCCCCCACTCCGCTCTTCCTCCAACCCATTCCCCCACTCCGCTCTTCCTCCAACCCATTCCCCCACTCCGCCCTTCCTCCAACCAATTCCCCCACTCCGCCCTTCCTCCAACCCATTCCCCCACTCCGCCCTTCCTCCAACCCATTCCCCCACTCCGCTCTTCCTCCACCCCATTCCCCCACTCCGCCCTTCCTCCACCCCATTTCCTTCATTCCACCCTCCACTCCACCCCATTTCTCTCACTCCGCCCTCCACTCCAACCCATTTCCCCCACTCCGCCCTCCACTCCACCCCATTTCCCCCACTC